TCTGTGCAACAACCTTCTGTTCTTTAATATGTTATCACAGAGGTGTTACTGTCACTCCTCCTTGGCTTGGCCTTGGCCAGCAGCAGGAAGCCCATCCTGGAACCTGTTGGTATTGGTTCCACTGGACAGGGGAAGCTTCTGGCAGCTTCTACCAGAAGCCACCCCTGTAGCCCCCCCCATCAGACCCAGCCACAGAAACCCACTACACCACCCTACAAGTCACATCATTTTCCTGAAGAACTTTCAATCTATCACTAAATGCTAAAGCCCAACACTGATTTATAGATCCCAGTTCATGAGTTTTCAGTACTTGAGTCTCTTTGCTGTAGTTAGCTCATTCTCTTAAACAAGATCGAGATCTTTCTAATTGCTGAACTACAAAATAAACCAGGTGCCAATAAGGCAGCATTTTATCAAAGCAGATAAAACAGACCTCACTTCATGATTTAAGAAAAAAAGGAGAGGGAGGGCCAAACACCCAGTACGTCTCATTACTCCTCACCGTAGGTTCGGATATCATGCTACAGTTACAAAATGCATGAAACACTACTTTAAGGAAAAAGGAAACATTAACTGTAACAAAGAAATCTGACAGAACTTCATTGAGAAGAGTTTTAAATGATCACTCTATTACAAAAAAGCCTCTGAGTGCTACAATACAAAGATACTACTGAAGAAAAACTAGGTAATGAACTACGGGAAGATGGACATAAGAGATGTTTTAACTGTTTTACCTCAACATCTGCCTCTTGGAAGCAAACAACTTTTCATTTTCAGACTAACCTAAAAGCTCTGTTCTCCACTGTCCAGTGGACTTCGCTTGAATTCCACACAAAGGTGGTTTTCACCCAGTAAGCTACTTTTTCAAGTTCTCCAATGTTTATGAGCAAAATCACTCACCCACAAACTTGCATATTCTGTAATTAGCACCTTTTTAAGACTGCCTTACTGAACACTGTGTTTGATTCTCATGTTTGATATGGGAATGCGTGTCAAACATGCAACCAGTTCTACCATAAAAATAGCAAGTCCTCTAGTTTAGAGATACCCGTCAAGTGGGGTTGGTATGAGCCTGAAACTCTGTCCACTGCCCTTGGCAGTCCTCTAGGTGGTGTCGATGGGGTATAGAGGTGAAGAGACACCTTCAGCCTGTTCAGCCAAACAGGATGTCCACATTCCTGTGCACCTTTTAAGCCAACTGTTATTTTAACAGATTTTCTCAGCTCTGCATCAACTGTTACAACACACCAGGTATTACAAGTAAAAGTAAACATTAACTACTTTCCTTCCAGGCACTTCTGGGTGTGCTAGAGCTGGCAGCTACCTTACTTCACTGATACACCTCTCAGCAGAGCAATGAAACTCAGAAGCAATTCAGAAGCTCCTACCTTCCCAAAGTTTACAGTTCCATCAGAGCATAAAATTTTTCAGGGTGAAAGAGGTATGGTAATGTACCTGAAATACTCTCCACATAAAATATATTTCACAGTCGGAGTTCTGTAAGCATTTTTTTGATTTGCAGACATCTTTCAGTACAGGTAACAGACCCAACTACTTCAAGTGAGGGCCTGTGGTAGAGTCAACAGCAAGCCCATTTTTCTTGTGTACCATTAGAAGATGCCTTACAATCGTTGCAGGAGGAAAACAAAAGGACCCTATTATTTACACACAACTTCTTTAGTCTTCTTTTACCCCTAAGGTTTGCTCCATCCCGAATGTAGGTCATCAGATCATTCAAAGCATTTCCTCTGCACTTTCTAATTTCTGAGGCATTCCTGAGTCCCCCAGCTTCTCTTGAGTTTTTGGCATAACTGGAACAAACTACAGTATGGACCTTTAGAGCTGCTATATGCTACCAAGATCTCCAAACACTCAGCACTCTGAAAGAGTGTGCAAGGCAGTGCCATCTTACCAATTAGGGACATTTAATGCAATGTCCTATTACAAAAGTTAAGAAAGTGTCTGCTTTCTTGAAAAGCAACAGTTTTTTCAAGAGCATTAGAAGAAAGGAAAAAGAGGTGCGAATGAAGCTCAACACAATGCTTAATGCAAGTACTACAAAGAGTGTTCACCAGCAGCTGACTTGAAATACTTGTTCTGCAAAAATACATCACGGTATTCCTCAAAGCTAGAGTCTGGAGTCCTGCATCTCCATGAACTACCACCTCAAAGTGGTAATTCACTCTTCACTAAATAAATGTATTCTGGCATGGAATTCTCAACAATTCATTCCTTCACTTTCTGGTCACTTTCCTTTAATTCCTAATGCTTCCAGGAACAAAATATTAACTGAGCTTTGAGGTACAGTAGTGACACCTCCCAGTAACTGGTTCCAATACTTAAGAGCTGGATAATATTCTAACAGATTATAAAATAACCCCTAAACCTGTTAAAATTCTTCATTTATATTTTTATTTTTTTAATGTAACATCAGTTAAACTTGAGAGTTTGCATCTTGCAGATTGTCTGTTTCCAACTAAACTTCAGACAGCAGTTTGCAACAGCACAAGAACATTATCAATAGCAGCCTCTACCACTAAATAATTGACTAATAACAGTTAATTATTCAATTATTTGCACTATAAATACAAGGTCATATAGTAAGAAATCTTCACTTGTGTATCTTCATTTCCAAAGCCACTGTTCTATAGCAAAATCTCCAGCTGTTTTCTCCACTCCTCATAAAAGCTTTTCGGAATAAGCAACAGTGTATATGATAACAGACCCTGCCTGGCATTTCACAGCCTTATGGCAAAGAAAGCTCAGAAAAGACACCTGCAGATCACAGCATACATTCTTTCTGAATTCCAGAGGGCAAATACGTTTACTCACCTTTGTACTTTTCCAAAATTGAAGGTAATCAAAGGAGAAGAGAGCTTGAAAATGTGTTTGACCTACTCCTGGGTCAAGACACTCCGTACAGTTTCTACTCCACCTCCTTAAATCTACATGGTATTTAATTATTATAATCAACAGGTCATGGTTTACAGTAGAATTGACTGATTCCCATCTACACAGAGATCAAACTACATTTACTGACATTTTCATCTTATCAGAACAGTACAAACCATAGCAGGGAACAGGTATGGAATTAAGATCATCTGAGCTACCATATTCACATCTAGATTGAAAAAAGCTTAGTCATGACGTAGAAAGCTCTGCATTCTCTACAGCTTACTTTTGCAAAGCTTAGGTGTCCTTCTTCAAGGGCATCCTGAATTCTCTTTCCCTCATCTCTTACCTCATTTTCCACAGCTAGGTTTAGAGAGTCTGCTTTGGGTACTTGAAAAATAATAGTACCAATAATTCAGGTGCTGAAGTTAGTGGCCTTATTTACTCTCAGAAAGTAAAGACAGAGTCAGAAGAAACCCTGGAAACTGCAATGGCACATCTGTGTCAGTCCAGATGTGACCTATGTGCCAGCACTATTACTGTTGTTGAAGTTGCTGCCATAGACCTATTTCTTTGGTGGATCACAAGGTTCTTCTACAGAGATTTTCCACTTGCAGAGACAAACTACACCTCAGCCTGCATACTGATACAAATAATAGCTGTACACTAAACACCGTTTGTGCTGGGTACATCTCAGCATTACTGCCTATATCAAAAGCACATGCAAACGTTTGCAATAATTGAAATATTTGCTTTGTTGAAGTGAAAAGTGATGTGATGGTACCCTCAGCACAGACAAGCCTCTGTGCCCAAACCACAGATTTCTTCAGAGCTAATTTCATTCTATTACAGAAGGAACTCCAACTGACAATGGTTATTTTCAAGACTCACAGCAGTTTAAAATTCATTCCAGGTGACCACTGATTTCTAAGATCCTAAGTTAATACACACACACACACACACACTGCTAAGTTACGCAAAAACATATTTCCCGTAAAACTGAACACTGATTCTTACCAGAATCATTTCTTTGGAGATAAAGACAGAAGTTACTGACAATCACATAAGAAGTCCTTTCATGACTACATCCTAGCGCATTTCTGACCTTGGAAATCATGTATGATCTTGTACTGCTGCTGGAGATAGGATACTGAGGTACTTACATCAAGTACAGAGAGTACCACATGTTTAACACAGCTCACAGCACCGTTCTCCAACCAGCCACCTCCAGGATGCCTCTATTCAACTGCCAAGTAATTCTAGTGTTGTTCTAGGCACACACCCAGGTGTTTATTTTCCAGAAGCTGCCATGAAGTTCCTGCCATACTGTCAAGCATTCAGAAAGCAACTCATGTTGGTCTCAATATTGGTTGAGAAATCAGTTTAAAACTACAATCCTAACAGGAATATGTATATTTTCCTCTGTCAGATTAATTTATACTAATTTCTACACTGTTTATATGTAAATATTTCACCTCATAGTTTACTTTTTTTAGAGTAAATATAGTCTAATAGAGCAGGCCACTGGTAATCACCTCTAGCCAAGAATACTGGCTGCTTTAGTATCAATAAGCTGACAGTAAATAGCATTTACACTAGGAATCAATTGTTACTGAAGAGTTCTGTAAACAAGGGCTCTCCTTGACAAGTAATTAAAGAATACCTCAGTCATAACCTAGTTAAATCTTCACTACTAAAGCCACCTCATCTCATCAGCTAACTAAAAAAAAAAACACAAAAAAACAACAAAATACAGATTAATCTCTGTAACTGGCCAAAGAAAACACTGCCTAAAAACCTTTTCAGCAACAGCTGTTTTCTGAAATAAGTGAGGGCTAGTTGTGCTACCAAGAAATGTCACAGCTTTGCTTTTCAAAGAGGCTTGCAGAGGCAGGCATTAAATTTCTACTGCACTTGAACCCAACATGGGTCTACAGCTTCCCCCAGGTGTTTTTGAAAATCCCACCCCAGAGCACTCAAAGGAGGAAAGCAAGAGAGGGAGAGCATAGTGGGGAAAGGGAAGAAAGAATAGTGACAACAAAGTATGAGGTAAAAGATAAGAGATCAAAGACAAAAAGAAAGAAAGCAAAGAAGATAATTTATCCTACCAGAGACAGCACCTCTTGTCAGTCAAGACAAGAAACATTGCCTCCCAAAAAGAATCTGGCACCAGGAAGTGGTAGAAGTGATGGGGGAAGACCAAATCTGACCTGAGATAAGAAAAAAAAATGCAGTTATAATTTTTTTTAAACTTTGTCTGTTTTTTCATCCTACTTCTGCAGTATTTTTTAAAAAATGACTTTTTTTTGTTTAAATTAATGTCTTTCTTCAGTTGGATTTTTGTCAGTGATGACAGTGGGATGATACAAATCAATGTGGAACAGGATAAATAGAATCTTGAAAAAAAAAAGTGAAATTATACAAATGCTGAAATTAAAAACAAATTTTAAATAGTATAGGAAAGCTGTATGAAGTGATAGCTGCAAACAGTATATGCTAGCAAAATGTCCCAATGGGTAAAAAATTTGGAAGCATGGACTTGCATCGACAAAACTCACTGGATGGGGTACAAGTCCACCAATTCCTACCTCTAGAAGACTTTCCTGACTGCTTTCTTACAAAATATAAAATCTCCACCTGATATCCCATGTGCAAATGGGAAAAAACATCATGGTCTCTTGTGTCCAGGTTCCACACTTAATTGCAATAAAAAAGTTCTACCCAGGTCTCCAACCAAAAATAGGGCAACTTTTACAGAAAGTCTCCTAGAAGCTCCAAATAAAACAATCACAACAGAAAGAATTAATACATGCAGGAAATTCACTTCAGGGTGAGAAATGGGCGATAAGAAGAGGAATTATCACACAAAAGCAAATCACAGATTAAGCCTAATATTTTTTAAAAAATATTTTAACATTAAAAGACAAAAAAGACAAAAATTACCAAATAAATCCATCCTCCTCCTATCATTCATTCTCAGAACAAACCTGGCAGGGGGAACCATTTTCTCCTAATATGTCAGAGGTTCCAGTGACAACTTCTATTAATACTTAAAAGTTAATTCCGAACTAGAACAAGTAACTTCAAGCAGTAGAAATCAAGCCATCACCTGTACTCGCCTTTCAAAATAATTCAGGGGCTTCTGTGATGCTGTCTCACAACTTTCACTTGGCACAGACCTCACTTCCAAACTTAGTAAATGAAAAGCTGGGTTACACATATATTCTGAAACAGTGAAACTGACAAGTTTGTCTCTATGCTCCACACTGAATTTAAAATGGTCTTATTTCAGTGCACCAAAATTAATTGTCCAAATATTATATTGAGGTAAAAATGTGGATAACCCTGTGGACTAGATATACAAAAACCCCACAGGAGTAAGTTCAAACCAGATGCTCAAGTGATGCTTCAGGCAAAGGGACCTAAAATTTAAGATCCTTAAGAGACACACTTGAATCTGAAATAGACGAAAGACCTGGAGTAGAAAATTTAAGACATAATCCAAAGCTTTAATTGTTCAATCTGGATATGAGGTAGCCTTAAGAACATTCAAGGAAAAAATTCTCACAATCTCATTACATAGTGTATGAAAAAGCAGTTCAGTTTTATTCCCCCTTTTGAATTCATGAAATTTCTTTTTCTATTTGAAAAGGGATATTAGAGATTACATCTTATGCAGATGATGCCTTTCTTTCAGATTCTCTCTTGGTATCAGCCTCTCTGAGGCAAACTTGCTTTTCAGTTTCTGTCCATGCAGTAATTCCCCCTCACACATCCCGAGTCACTAACAGCACTCTGCTTGAGTTCTCTGAACTCAATGTGTCCAGGCTGCTCACAGTACCTTAATAATGTTGTTTCTGTATGAGTGAGCAACATTTCTGCTTGTAGTTAAGCTTGTAGATCCCTTCTCTGTTATCTCTCAGTTTTCAGAATCTACAGCTTCCAAATCCCCTCATCTGTTCTAAATCCTGTACAGTGAAGAATACATTGCATGTGGAGGATTGATTTAGCCCAAGTTACTCCAAGAACAAAAATTATGGAAGCTCACAACCTCACCAATATAAAAAAATATATATCCCTAGAATCAATCCATGGTCAGAATTCACTGGAAATGCTACCTAACACAATTAGATTCCTTTCCCCAAAAATATCACCTTACTCAGTGCACCAGTGCATATGATCAGTAAACAAACAGGAATGTCTGTTTTGTCCTTGTTTGACAGTCTGAGCCCTTAGTTATCACACACTTCAAAAAAATTCGCACTGACCATGGATTTTCTCACTGCCTTCTCCCTGTAAGCATTTTCTCTATTGTATTTCAGTGCAGCACAAACATCAACAAATTAACTTTACTTCTAGAGCAGTATTTTTTTTCTCTTGAAATAGAGGGAAACCAAGGCATGCAAACATTAAAACTCTAAGTCCACTGAACCCAGCCACCCAATCCAAGAAGCCAAAGGATGGATTTTTCAGAATCCTTGATATTCTAGAATCAAGCCAGTTTTTTTCAAAGCTCACTGCTCAGTTACTACAGTTGCAGGTGTGAATGCTCAATCCCAAAACCCCAGATCAGGCCTTCATAACCAAAGGAACATTTAACAGCTGTGAATTCTTGCTGAAGGGATTTACCTAGCAGTTCACAAGAACTCTGTAGCACAAGACAGGACAGTAGATCCAGCTCTCCACAACAAAGCTCCACTGTCAACACCTCGACCATCCTTTATTTCTGTAACACCCCTATCTGCTCATTTGCTGTACACTTCAAAACACTGAGAAGTGGTCTAACACAGAGAACCCTCCTGCACACCTTAAAGGAGGCAGGGGTGGTATGCAGTACGTAATACACAACTGTGTACAACATGGAGATACTCAAAGAACACTGAATTACTGCTGTCCCTGCAACCGAATTCTGGTACATCCCAGTTCCTGAGCAACGTTCTTCAAATCTGCTGTGGTGTCCAGGGATGTGTTAACACTTCTTGCATTAGTCGCCACTTTGGCTTTGTATTTAACAGTAACAGAAGTAAGGTTACAATGAAGATACAACAAACAAGAAGCGACACCAAAAATTCTCCCTCAAATCTTATCAGTAACGTAAACACGCTAAAGTATTCGAAAAGCTTTCTTTTTATTTAACATGTACGAATTTTATTTGTCCAGTACTGCTCAAGCAATTTTTACGGCTCTATAAATTTCCCCTGAACCCCTTTTTGTTCAAACAAATATTTGGATATAAGAGTTTTTTCACCATTTGCCTTCTCTCTTCACTCCCACCCAAAAATGGTATAAGTATCACTGTTCTATTCCCATTTTTCTGCTTAAGATACAGGCTACCAACATTAAGATAACTTAAATATAATCTGTTTCCCATGATCCATGGTATTACTTTTCATGAAGATCTGAGAAAAAAAAATGGTCTCTTTACAAACATTTTTGGAGGACCTTGTTCTCAGACTCTGCAGGGACAGCAGCATCTTGGTTCACACTCTGTCTGTTTTTCTAAACCATCAGAACCAGTAATCTTTTTTTAAAATGAAAACCTAGCTTCCACAAAACCAGTACGTATCTTTCCAGCTAAAATATGAATTATGTTTCCAGCTCTTTTTATTATTAAATGATCATTCAGTTTCCTACTGAAATCAAACAACAGTTTAATCATAAAGCAAATTACTGTGTTCAAACATTTCTGATCACACTTGCAGCTGTTTATATTTAACATTAACATTTTTTGTTCTAAACACAGCTCTCAATAGTCCAATTGTCACACTAACTCATTTTCAGACACTGCACTACATCTGTAATTAGATGCATTCCTACGCTACCACAGAGTAAAAGTAAGAGGAGTATAAAGCACTTTGCATACACAGTTAGAAAATGCTCCATCAGACTCAAGTACTAGTAAAAATTCAAAAAAACCTCACTGTTTTATATTACACACACAACTTAATCTGGATTTATTTTCTACAAAATAGGTCTAAGTGGCAGCAGCATACAAAAGAATTTGTTATTATTCTGCATTGTGAAATAGCAAACTCCATATTTGGAGAATATGTAAGCAAAGTATCAGAAGGCAGCAAGTTGTAACTGGTCTCACAGATGCACATTTCATCATTAAATGCCATACTTCACTAACACAGTATCTTGAGCACTTTCTATGAAAAATATGTAGTCTTGTTAATTGAATTAAAAGTTTTACATGCAAAAATATATTAATTCTGCACTTAGTAGCAGCTCTTTAACAGACATTACATGATGTATTAAGTTACCCACAACTGCTTAGTGTTATTTGTCTTGTCAGAAGTTTGTAGTACCCTCCTGCAGCTCAAGTATGACACAGCTCTTGCATAATTACAAAGGGCAGAAATCACTCTTTTAATGTTTTCAAGGAGTTTGTTATGAAGTTTCGTTCGTGTTTTGTATTGTGAGCATACAGAAAATGTCATCAGCCCAGACTCCCAGTTTTTCACTGTACAGTTAGAGGACTCAAGCTACCATAACCCTTACATTAATTGTTTTTATGTGGTTGGTACATATTCAACTGCAACTATGATGGACTGAATTTCAAAGACCAAGTTTGGTGTCTTTCTTTTTAAAATTTACTTATTTAGCCTTCTATTACAAATAAGCACTTGATGTAATTATCTCTATGCCACACATTTATGCATACACACAAAAGAGAGGAGCACCAAGACATCAGCTCCTTGAAGTACAAGGAGCTTGAAGGTGGCACAGAGCATCTGGAAACTCCACAGTCACTCTGAGGAGCTCTCCCTTCCCAGCTGCGTTGCCACCATCCATTCACAACTTCACTACATGTGGGACTAGGATTAACTGCAGAGTTTTGCTGATTCATAAAAAAAGCTGACAAATGGGCACCATCAAAAATCACCACCACTTATTGCTGACTGCTTCCCGAAGCTTAAAGACTACACCCTTTAGTAAGAATAAGAAAAAAGGATGGAACTAGGTTTGGGAGTGGGGTGCAGAGCACGTGAGACAGAGGTGATGCTGGTGATGCTGCAGTAAACTAGTTCTCCAAAAGAAGTTGCAAAAGTGGTCTTCTAATGATACTCCTGGAAGTGGTAATTCTATATTTTTCTGCTGTCCTGCGTGGTGTCTCCCGACACAGGAGAGAACCACTGCCAGATACATGCCCACAGAAAGAAACAATCTTTAATAAGCAAAATACTACCTGTAAACTTTCTAGAGCATAAAAAAAAACCACATTACCTACCTGCTCCTTGTAGGCTGCCAAATATTACACCACCACATACTCAGCCACAGAGGGGCTAACCCAGAGAAACACAGCACATTTGCTCCTATAAAGGGAACAACATGAAATCCAAGACCAGGGGATGACCTCATGTTGCATTCTACAAAACCAAAGGCAGAGAATAGCTAGTCTCTTAACACCAAATCACAGAATAAAAATGGGTTTGAAAAATTAGAAGAGACCAGCAACAGCAAGTGATAAATACTTAACTCTTGACAGCATTACCAATGAAGTCTCTTAGAACGAATGAACATTTCAAAAAAAGCAACAATAATTCAAATTCTAGTTGGTGCCCATTTTCCTGAATTCGGGAGAAACACGAGTCTAGAGTTCAGGTGTGAAATGAGAGCACAGTGAAAAGCCAGGCTGTGGTCAGAATTTTTCTAAAGTATAAAAAAAAAATCTCCCTTAAAAAAATTAAACAAAACCAAAAAAACCCCAAAACCAAATGATCAAAAAAACCCCAACAACTGTATTGCAGAGATTATTACACCAAAGAAACGGTCAAGAAACTTTGATGCAACGTAAGCTTAAGTCTCCATCAGATGCTTCACAACCTATTTAAAGTCCCGAGACTTTAGAATTCTAATTTCTCCAGCATTTAATCCTTTTCCGTCATAGAACTGGTACAGCATCCAGATGCTGTGAAGAACCATCAATAAACCTTTGTAACTTTGCAGATGGACCATTTTAAAGGAAACACGCAGAAAAAAAAAAAAAAAGAATCACTTAAACATGACTAAAGCTTTCTTTTTCCCTATACCATATTCTTCCAAGACAGCCATCCCCAAACTAGTTACACTGGATCAAAAGCTGTCAGCTATGAATGACCTTGCACATGAATTATTTTTTTAATATATAATTTCTATGGATTTCCAGAGTTCTACCAAAATCAAGCCTCCAAATCCCTTTTCCATGAAGTTGGAAAACCACGTCCCCCATACTAATATGTGTTATTCTATCCCTGCAACTAAAGTTGACTTAAAAGAAAACATCTGAAGTGCGAGGTAAGAGGAGAATCACTGAGAAATTAAGAGACAGACTAGCTTGTTAATGAAAATGATCACAAGGACAAAGTAGTAGATGTCATTTTTAATCTCACAGTGTTCTCATGGTTTCAGGAACATATGTGTCTGTTCACACACACACCTGAGTAGTCCACATCCACAATACAAAAATTACCAAAACTCACACTCAACAGGCAAGAGAGACAACTATTTCCCTTTTTTTTCTAAGTAGGTGTGCCTAACAGAACAATCACTGATGAATCTGCTTCAGAAAGAGAATATTAAGCCTGATTTCATTAACAGTCATTCCTTCTAAAAACATCAACAAATATCTAAGACAGGAAATGTAATTTTCTGTGTTACAAAAAAAAAATCTAACAACTAAAACAAAAATCTACAATATAGTCTCCACCAGAAACACTCTTACACGGAAACCTACCTTCAAACTTTTTCTGTCTTAAAAAGGCCACTCCAGGACTGAAATGTCTTTTTAGCACACACCACCACCTTTTACAACAGTCCATGTATTTACCACTGAAGAACAACGCATGATACCACTATGATATCACTTCCATAATTTTGGCCTATTCAAGCTAGAAAAGCTTGTATTCTACTACTGTGCTTCAAAGAAAGTATATGGATACATGCATCACAGCAAAGTCTTACTGACTGCATAGTCCTACAACACCAGCAACAACAACTTTGTGATCAATGCTCACTTCACTTCAGTTAAAAACTGCATCTTTAACCATAATGAAATCCATCTCCACCCTCTTGGGAAAACATGTATTTTATGGAGGGTAGGGGGAGGGGAGAAACAGAAAGTAGCACTCCCACTAAATTTAACTTTAACAAGCAAGCAAAAAAAAGAGCTAGTGGATTCAGGAAAGACAATTCTTTGATAGGGATGCACACATATTTGCACAAACAAGAAGTCTGCAAAATACTGCACCACACACCAAAAAATCCATCGCACATACACCACTGTCCAGCATCAAGCAACTAGAAGTCAGCATTATGAGTTATAAATATTGAATTCCCCTAAAATGTTTTTGTCAAAACACTTTAAGATTAGATAAAACAGATAAATGAGAAATTAGATAAAAGAGAAATTAGATAAGAGAAAATGGAGACAGGTGCTGAATTAAGTTCCTAACATGGTAGAAGGTTGTATTTTCAAATGAGTATTTTTACAGAGTATTTTAACAGTAGTCCAAACACTTTACACGCTGGTAAACAGGTACAGAAAAACCCAGCGACTTTTCACACTCCTATATTCTTCCTGTAGAGACTCCTTTCTCAGCTTCCATCTCTTCCTCCACCCTGCTCCTTCTGACTAATGCTGAACTACCAACCGAACTCCTCTACGGCGGCAAACACAACGGGAGCAGGGGCAGGCAGCACACAGGACACGTTTCTTCGGCGGCCTCAAAACATGCCACTACTA